AGAAGGCTGTGATGTGCCTTACGGAGAAAACACGTGTATTAGATAAGCTTCCTTCTGCCATGAGTTAGAGTGCTGTTGGCCATAAGTTCAGTGCTAATCAGTCAACAATATATATTAAATAAAGTGTCTTTAGACAGAAACATACATAAAACAAGGTTGTATATTGATTGGTTGACAAAACATGTTGTGACCAGAGACTCCCAGGAACCTAACCCTGTATTCCTTCTAGGAGCAATGGTTTTCAGTATTTGCTATTTCAGTGTTGACAGTGACTTTATAGAACATAACTATTCATCTCGGTTATGTTCTATGAGAATTGACTGTTAATGTAAACTTACTCTGTTCAAGTAGAGCCCTAAGCATTTTATGTACATTATCTCATCTGTTCCTCACAGCAACTCTAGAGATTCTGTACTTCTCTTATCCACATTTTACAGATGAGGAAACTGACTCAGAGAACTTAAATAACATGCCCAGGTCACAGGAATGGAGCTGACATTTGAGCCCATGTCTGTCTGACAGTAGATTGTACGCTTAGTAACAATATTTATTGGGAAATCTCATTATCTTTTACTTTTCACTTTTTAGCCAAACGGAATTAATTCTCATTTCTGGGTTAGTAATGCTAACTTTCAGAACAATGAAACCCCTGGACTGTTCACCATCACAGCCATTCACTGTGAGAGGAAACTCCATTCAGCTCTTCATCCTGACACTAGAAACTTAACTAACTAATCACTTACTCTGTCTGATGTGAACATTATTTGCATTAATGTAGAAATACAGGAACAAGGAATTTTAGAACTGAAATAAACCCTATAAATTATTGAGTTTCATGTTTCCAATGTTTTGTGAACACCTCCCTTCCCCCACCAGGGATTTGCAAAGATGATCCTGGGGGTTCGGGTCTTTAAAGGCAGATGGGGTCAGTTTCTATTTCTATTTTTATATCAATCAGTACAAATAATTTTGAATATTTTCCCTTTGTAACAGTGGTTGGAAAGCTGACAAATATGTATCAAGATTGTACACCAATGTTCACTGCAGCATTGTTTGCAATAGCCAAAAGCTCCATCAATAGATGATTGGATAAACAAAATGTGGTATATACATACAATGGAATGGTATTCAGATATAAAGAGAAATGGAGTTCTGTTACATGCACCACATGGATGAGCCTTGAAAACATTAAGTGAAAAAAGCCAGGCACAAAAGGACAAATACTGTATAATACCACTTATATGAAATATCTAGAATAGGTAAATCCATCCAGACAAAAAATTAGTGGATACCAGTGGATAGGGGGAGGAGGGAATGGGAGTTATCGCTGCAGGGGTACTGAGTTTCCTTTTGGGGTGATATAAAACTTTTGGAAATGGATAGTGGTGATGGTAGCACAAAATGTGAATGTAATTAATGTCACTGAATTGCACACTTAAAAACATATATATTAAGAGAACATGTGCCATGGTTAGCAAAGATCAAAGTGCATGTTCATGACTCAGTCCTCAGACATTAGTCTCTCAGCCAGATGGCAGTTCTTACTCTTACATGGCTTAAAATAGTTTAAGCCATGTAAACATCTATTGTTTAAGTCATACAAAATCACTGACAATTTATTAATGATAGGATGAATAAAAATTGACCTAATATTGATAATGAGTTCATAAGGAACATAAAAAAAATGGTTCTACAAAATTTGCCTAGGAATAATTTTCACCAGATCTATAAATTACATTCATTTGGTCAAAATTCTGTCATAGCATCTTATATATAGTAAGTTTCAGGATCTTCAAAGGTCATCATAAAACAGAGAGAATGCAATGATGGGCATTTCACTAATTGAGAATAAGGACTATTCATACTCTTAATAAGTCATTCAAGATGAAATGCTTGCAAATGATAGCCTGAAATTTCTCTGTATCACATCATCATTTAGGTATAAATTGCAAGAAATATTTTAATAAATTTGATTTTGAACATATGCAACGCAAGATTACCAAATATAAGACTAAGAAAGAAGTATTGATGTACTTTTGATGTCATAGCACCTAACCAAAATTTTAATCTATAGTTTATAGCACATGCTGTTCCAAAATCAAATGCAATATAATAACATTTTAGAAATTAGTTATCACATCATACATTTTTTACAAAATTTAAAACAGATTAAACAACACATATCACTTCTTAAATGAATAAATGTAAGAATTTATCTTTATGTAATATGTGATGATTATTAGATAATGTTTAAATAAAAAACCTTTAAGAATGTACTTATCTGAAATTAAAACATGTTTTACTTAAAATCGCTTATCATAAATCACGCAGAAATGATGAAATGATTTCTAAAATTCATAACAGGTTTCACAAGATCATATCTTACAAAGATTTGGAACTATAAAAATGTTGGCAAATGCTGACCGAGCTTAATTCCCTCACTTCACAGATAAAAACAGAAGGTTGAGTGTCTTATCTAAGGATCCAAACATAGGCAGATAGTGTCAAAGTTAGGATTAGTACCAATCTGATTTTTTTCATTGAATCAATTTCATTGAATTTTTTATGCCTCCACGTGTCACTGTCCTTACGTTCAGTATGAGAAAACAAAACTATGTGACCAACCCTCAATAGTTTAGTTGGAAACAAATGACTGAAGAAGTAATTACTCTCAAATTCAAACCTAGCTGTCCTATGTTCCATTCCTCCCAATTGTCTATGCCGGAAGCCACAGCTGAAACCATACCATATCCCTAAACTCATAACTACATCGTCTAAGTAAAATGAATGTCTCCTTAGAAAGACCTACAATAAGTGATTCAGCCACTACAGTGTTTGGAAGAGAGAATTCTTATGTGTCTCCAGAGGCTT